GACCCACCTGTTTAGTTTAGCGTTGGACTGATTTTATCATTTGCTTAATTTATTTTATTTTCACTAATGTTTGACTTTTTCCATTTTACTCATACCTATTTAATGGTTTTACTTGATACAAGGTTATCCTTTTTAAGGCGTTTTTGGTGTTTTTTATATTCGGTATTTTAGGTGTTTTATACTCATGCGTTTACATCCACATAATCGGATTATACTCTTACAATTGTTTTTACATTGATATTCTCATATTTTATCCTCACTGGGGTCTGTCCACACTGGGAGCTGTGTTTAGCCCTGGCAGTAGGGATGGTTCCATTGGGGGAGGTCCTGGCACAGCAGATGGGGGAGACTCCTCTGTTTGCCTGGGCTGGCATGGCCCCTGTGGTGGGTTCCGTGCGTCTGGAAGCTGTGCTTGGCACCTGCTGTGGATGCTCCTCCCAAAATACGCCACATGCTGTGCTCAGCCATGTGTGTCAGCCATATTTTTTATTTTTTTTGTTTTTATGGTTTAACAGTACTTATTTCAGTGGAGGAAGGTCTTTCTTTGTTCTCAGGTTTCATTGATTGATTTTAAACTGCTAATTTGTTTTGTTTGTTTGTTTTTTTTCTGTAAAGCACTTTGGGTTGCACATGCTGTATGATAAGGTGCAATACAAATCCAGTTGAGTTGAGAGTTGAGTAAAAAATACAGTAAACCCCTCTGCCATAGCGTGGCTCAGTTTTGCTATCATGCTACAGCGTAGACTTTTTTCAAGTGTTAGTTATTACGCTTATTCTTGGACACTGTTTTTATAATATTATTGTGTTATCCATTGCATATATGGTAAAATGTGTTTGTACTGCATTGTTTTAAAAATGTGATTCGAGACCTTAAAAAAATCCATCCATCCATGCATGCATTTTCAACACCGTTTATCCTGCCAGCTGACTTCAGGCGAAAGGCTGACGACACCCTGAACTGGTTGCTGTTCAGTCGCAGAGCACAAATAGAGACAAACAACCATTCACACAACATTCACACTATCACTGAGTGGGAACCACTCCCACAAAGCCCGCACAACAGCCAGCCGAGTGAGTGTACCGCGACACCATCAGCGACATACCGTAAAAAATAAGGCCCTTTAAATGCTATAAAAACATGCCTTGACTGTACTTAAATAGGTTTTTTTCTATATAGCAGAAGGAGGCAGGATTCCTTCATGTCTATATTTCTAGGTTTTTATTAGCATTAAAATATAAACAAATAACATAAATACAGTATTATGCTACTTAAAAGATTTTCATCTATCACGAGGGCTTCTGGAATATAACACCCAAAATAAATGAGGGACTACTGTACTAAAATAAGACATTTAACATGACCTGCAATCATGAGGTGGGGATAATGTGACAGCATCATTCATAGACTGAACTGGAGAGCTTTTCTAGATATAAAGATTCAAATAATTTACAACTAAGTAAGAACATTTCTCTTTCTAACACTGTGATGAATAAAAATAATTTACACCTCTTTTTGCTCTGAATCAAGATCTGAGTTTTGAACATATCAACAATGGTCCTCAAGAAACTGCTTTAAAAATATATATTTCAGGACAGATTGCCCTTGTTTTGGTTCTGGATGTGGAGATGGGATTCAGGCAGATGTTCTCTATTGGGATACAGGACCACCCCAAAAATCTCGAAAAATCCTGAATTATGTTCCTTTTCATTTGTAACAGAATGCTGTGAAATAGCAGATTTTCATATTAAATCTCATATACAGGCAATATACCTGTACAGTATAACCCCTTGCTTAGATAATTTACCATGTTTAATAAATTAATGGTGAAGATTTCTCTGGATATTCTGGTTTCTTCCCACATACTAAAAACATGCATGGTAGGTTATCTGAACGCTCTAAATTGCCCCTAGGTGTGAGTGTGAGCGCGGATAGTTGTACGTCTATGTGTGCCCAGCGTTTGGCTGGCAACCAGTTCAGGGTGTACCCCTCCCACTGCCGAAAGACAGCCGTGATTGGCTCCAGGATGCCCACAACCCTTGTGAGGATCAGCGGATCAGGAAATGGATGGATGAAACAATTGCGAAATTATGCTTCTGATTAATGGTGTCTGTTATTGTGATACAGTATGTTTTACATTATTTGAAACCTATTTTGAATGGTTGTTTATCTACATATGCCCTGCAATTGGCTGGCAACCACTTCGGGGCGTAGCCTGCCTGCTCCCCAAAGACCAAATGGATGGATTAATTTCAACGAAAAGTTCGGACACCTCTGATTTAGTGAGTCCATCTCTGAAGCACTGGGTCGATTGTGTACACTAAACCAAGAAAACAACATTGTCACGCAAAATGCGGTCATTTTGCTGGCGTAATGACAGCCCCATGAAAAACAGTGTCAACTATTCATATGTTCCTATTCAGTGAATGTACCATTTGCAAATTATTCTGTTGGCTTGGCAAATTGTTCTGCTGTGATGTCACCCAATGACTGCGCTTCCAGCCAAAATCTCCAGCTGGCCATTTGTTGTTTTACTCCCCATTGTTGATTGGATACTTTGTGAATTATTTGAAAGCTTAGTGTACAAAAAAGTACTTTGAAAAGCAAAGCTTTTGTGTGGGTAAACAATACCTGTCAATCGTTGTGTCAATGTTCAGACACAAACTATGCTCTTGATACTATAGCATTTCATTTAACTTCAACTTGTGATCCACGTTTATGTTTGTCACTTGTGGTCAAGTGAAATGTGGAAAAACACTATTACAATTACTGCAATAAAATATACAGCGTCAAGTTGTTTTGTTTTGATTAATCAATGAAAGAAACAGGACCGAAAAAAAAATCCCTTCTCGAATTTACTGAACATTTCCTATTTGGTGATGCAGGTAGGAGACCTGTAGAGTTGATGCACTTTATTTGCATTGTAATATTAGTGATTGAGATCTGCAGCCACGAGATTACTGTAGATTGCAGTTTAACAGTGATGTGGAAAAGTGTTTTGTGTGTCGCAGGCATTTGACGAACGTTCATGCAGACAGATTAATACAGTACTACAAAACCGCAGGCAAGGGGGAAAACTATACAAATCAACTGCCTTATAAGTGAATATATAACATGCATATATTAAACTGCTATATTTGGCATCCCTTGGCATTTCAGTATGTATACGCCCAGCCAACGCCTATAGCGAACAGGGAAGAGATGCGCTCTCGAAGACTTTTCATTCTACCTGAGGGAAAAACACTAAGCAAGTCATTTTGATGGAAAACCCCGAGTTGCATTCACCATGGGCAGCTTTGTAATGACTCACTTTTATGAATGGTTTTACTGACGTTGTTAGTGTGGTCTTAAGAGTGACAGGAATTAACACTTTATAATTCACTAAAACCTGAAATTCTCTAAGGGCATAAAAACATCATTGCTTTTCTTGCTTATAAATGTAAAATAGAAAAATATGACTAAACTGTCGGTCTGATTAGGCAGTCTGAGGAGACAAGATATGACTCCTAACTGATGAGTTGCTCACAAATGACGTCGTGATGTATTGAGTCACACTATGAATATGTCATCAAGTTTTCCCGCTTGACTGCAAGTCACAGGAGTAAAAATGGAAAATGTTCAGGCCAAAAAAACGCCTAAAATCTTACTTAGAATTAACTAAATGGTACTCACCGGGTCATTTCCACGCAATGGAACAGAGGACAGAACTTTAAATTCAACTCAACACCCGTGAACAAATTGAACTCAATTGAGAACAATTCATCACAGTGAGTCATTACGAAGTTGACGTGCGCGGTGACACCTTAATCGTAACTTCTGTGTTAGAAAATGCGTTTACCTTTTTTGATATAGTCCTCAAGAGTCGTATTTTTCCAGGTGTTTACAGCGAGATCTATCCGTCCATCTGGAAGGAAGACAACTCCTTTGGCTCGGGAAGCAGAAGTTTACAACGTCACTCCTCCCACCTCCAGAAATCTGCTTCTAATTTAGAAACTCGGTCGCTGCGTTCGCGGACCATGGGAAATTTCGAAATTTTGCTATACAATAAAGATGTTGGATAAAAAGAAAATCACATCTAAATAAACGTCGTGTTGCTAACTTCATAAACTATTTCAGACTATTACAACGAATAAACTAAATATCTGGCTAAATGTCGGTTTGAGATGTCGTTGGAAGAAATTTGTGAACCTCTCCCGCCCCCTGCAGCACAGTAAGTGCATGCTACGTATAGCCATGCAAGTCAGTACAGTACAGTCAGAGAACAGTTTTACCCGTCTCAAGCAACATTCCAGGAATTTTCATCTATGAAAAAATTCCAGGGAAAGAATAGGAATTCATGGAATTGCATGGTGATGAATAACACTTAAACGACAATGAATGTGATTTCATATATATATATATATATA